TTATGAAGGGTGCGTGAGTCTCACCCAGAAGAGGTGTGTCTATGTCTGCGTAAACAGAAACAAAAGTGATTTAACTCCTAAATGGTGGAGAATTGAGCAGTAAGATTGCAGAGGCGTGATCTATACACCAAAATTGCTTCATTAAGTTAAAGTTGTTTTGGTGCTTGGAGTGCCCCTTTAAAAAGAGCAATTTCGCACATGGTCATTCTCTCCTACCATAGACCGTTTGATATTTCTGGCACATACCTTGAGAGGAGCACCTTGGAAGAGGGGCTTACGATCGCATCGTTCTTGGGCCGTGCTGGCACTGCGAGACGAATAGTATTTAATCACGGCGTAGTAACCGGGTTCACTAACCCCTGCATTTGGCAGAAGTTTAAGGGAATACAGAGGACCAAATTGGGAAAACACATTTAGAAGAGAACACTGAAAAAGGAAATGACATGATTTACAATTAGATAAAGGCAGCCATTACATCGAAAAAGCAACAAACTCACAGACACATACATAGCTAATCATTCAAGCACATATGCAAACACTAACACACAGGTTTTGCAGGAAAGCAGTACCCACATGTTCGTCTCTCCACCAGCATGTAGACAAGTAACAAAAAATGCAAGCAAGTTAAATTACCAAGTGAACCAATGCTGGTCTCCAAATGTCTTTTTATAAATCTACATTTTGTGTAGATTTATAGCGACTGGTTAAGGGAGGTGTTCGTTTAAGTTTTGTAAATAGAAAATATTAAGGATCAAATTACTGGGTATATCGTGTTTGTTAATTGGGAAGTCAAATTGCTCGATGAAATCGCCCATTTGCAAACAACAAGCAACCCAGGCCGTTTAACACGGTGTAATGTGGCTGTTTATTTTATTGATACTTTGCCCCGGGGAAATTTATAAGCCTGATATTTACTACCACGGGAAATTAATATTTGTACTCACATAGCTCTTGTGAATACATATATAGTTAAGAAATCCCCTAATTATTAAGACTGTTCAGTCAGTCCTGGCTCTAACTTTAGGACAGTTTTGGAGCCCATGAATTATTATTATGATATTTATATAGCACCATCAAATTCCGCAGCGCTTTACAATGGGTGGACGAACAGACATGTAGTTGTAACCAGACAAGTTGGACACACAGGAACAGAGGGGTTGAGGGCCCTGCTCAATGAGCTTACATGCTAGAGGTAGTGGGGTAAAATGACACAAAAAGGTAAGGATAGTATTAGACTAGTGACAGTTGCAGAAGAGGAATCAGTCAGGAGCTATTAACAGTTTAATTTATACGCTTTTATGAAGAAGTGGATTTTTAACGATTTTTTGAAGGAGTGGAGAGTGGGTGAGCATCTAACGAAGGAGGGAAGAGAGTTCCACAGGAACGGTGCAGCCCTCGAGAAATCTTGAAGGCGAGCATCAGAGGTGGAAGTACAGACAGAAGATAGACGTAAGTCTTCAGCAAATCGTAAGGGCCTAGACAGGACATACTTGTGTATAAGGAATATTAAATTGAGCTCTATATTTTATAGGAAGCCAAGGTAGGGACTGACAGAAGGGTGAGGCATGGGAGGTGCGGGCAGACAGGAAGATGAGCCTCGCCGCCGCATTCATTATTAATTACAGTAATAATGGCACATAGATGGGTATAAAAAGGATACAGGCAGTAAGGCAGATGAAAATATGTGAACATATCCACTTTGCAAATATATTCTAAGAAAAAACTCCTGGCACCATAACAACTGTGTTGAAAAATAACAACTTTGTTAGAATTAAGTTGCTATGGTGATAGGAGGTCCCTTGTTAACTAACGGTTTAACCTCAAAACTCAATAACCAGCGTCCAGCGCCAATCGCACTTCCCTTCCGCTGCTCAGATTATTGGAAGAAGACGCCTTGGACAGGGGTGTTGCTGATTGGCTAAGAGTGTTGGCTGAGGTTCTAAGCAAATCAGTAGCTCTTGATTCACAAAACGGCTTCAGAAACGTAACTATATTTCTCAAGTGGTTTTGTAAAAAGGAAGCTACTGATTGGTTTGGAGTGTAACCGAGGAAACTTGCAGAAGCCAGACACAGAGAGATGGATGCAGGTTTTCAGGAAGTAAGAGGCCTTTATTAACATACCGATCAGGTCTCAGATGAACTAACGTTCCAAGACAGGTCTGAAGGCCGAACACATGGAGTACATGCTTTTTATAGAACTATAACTCCTCCCATTAATAGCTCCTCCCGCACATACCCTTAACCAATCGGTGGACAGGATCTGGATTTCCTTATATGGGCAGACCACATGGCTCATCCGAAACAAAGGAGAAAGTAATGTGATTTCAGTTCCTGCACATGCTCAGTACATTGATGACAGTATCTTAGCTATGTGTAACTGATACAACATACACATATGCCACATGGAAATCTCGGCCTATTAAATGTACATTTCACCGAAATTGCATCATAGGAGCAGTGAAAGGACAGGGGGTAGATGGATCAGGCGCTGGAATACAGAACTTAAAGGTAAGCCAGCACCAGGGACCTCCAAATTTGACGAGCTGGAAAAATAGCCAAGTGGAAGTGTTAACATTAGCAATATCTTTTTTTTTAGTTTCCATCAATTCTTGTTTAGAAACAAACCATAAAAATAAAACACCCATGCTGTTGGTAAAAGTAAGAATCAAGTCATGATCCTAAATAGACCTGAGACCGACAAAATGTAACTTTAAATTTAGGGGTGTGACCAGGGGCGGGTAGTTGAGTGAAATTTTAGGTGACTTACTAATAATATATGCAACTAAAATGTAAATTTGGACAAGAACAATGTTTATTTACACAGACTGGCTTCTAAATACATTTATTGTAGTTTAAAGACACTTTACTGGGAGTATTATTGCTGTAGAGCTCGGATATAAAATCAGAGACACCAAGAATACCGAGCCCCTACAAAAGATGGACATTAAGATATATATGAATGGCAGAGTGATTTTAGATCAAAATATGGACTGTACCTCCTAAATAGGGACACTCAGGCAATACATATTGGGAGTTCGGCTAATAACCCTGTGAAGTAAATGACACTTAATTATTTACTACACTCCAAGTTATGCCATAAATACAATCCAACATTCAAATCCGGGTTTAAAACAGCCAAGGTGGAAACAGTGTTTGGAGATTTCTGTAGAACAACCCTAAATTTGCCTAAAATATCTCATTTTTGGACTTACATTTGCTATAGTTTATAGTCTAGTCTTGTCCTTATTTGTTCAATATCACATTGTTAAGCTGTAGCTATAGTTCAGTTTAGTAGTGAATAATGCTGCCTTTGTGTCTTCAAAGATTTTATTATTAAAAAAATAATAATTAGATTACAGTGTTAATCAGGTTTATTTTCTAAAATGTAAAAAAATGTGATGCCACACACATCACATAACAGCTGCAGTGAGAGACATCATTAGCATACTGTGCCACACACATGCCATGTTAAACATTCCTATCTCCGTAGCCTGGCCCAGCTACTGCTCCAGTCACGTGATGCAGTATGGGCAAGGGCGCCCACACTAAACATGGCGCCGGTAGACTCATTCCCAACGCGTTACTCACGTAAATGTCACCCTCCGCCAGCTGTGCCCCTATATTCCACACAAAGACCGTTTTGCTGCTTTCTGTGGGAACCGTAAACCCCACCACCTCCGGCTCCATCCCCACAGCCCGCCAAATACGTGCGAATCGCGGTGTTCCCGGCAGGTCACGTCAGCGGGCAGCCATCTTGGAGGGGACAGAACCAGGAAGTAACTAGTCGGCCATATTGGTTTTGGGTACTTGCCCTTAAATAATATTTGAAAACAGGTATTATTGACTATAGCATAGCAGCATGCATAAAGCAGCTTAGTCACCTGCTATTTATTTACACACACATATTTATCTACACACACCAAATGAAAGGAAAAAAAATATATATATACATCAAAAATACAAATATCCATTAAATAATTGGGGACCTGTAATTCAGCATATGAACACACTGATATGTACATTGCTTGTATGGGAAAGCCAGAATGGAACAGCTTTGCATTAGGTTGCTCCATTCATACTTTTTCAGGAATGAAGCTACTCAGGGCTAAAACTGTGTGGGGGTCACGGTAAAGGCTTACTGCTGCAAAGCTACAGAAAGCAAATTTAACAGAGACATTTATGGTGCGAGAATATTATGAATTATTGTTCGTATGCATAGCAAACCCAAATGGCAAAAATAGTCAAGTTGTGACTATGGATGAGTTGAAGAATATTTTTTTTCAGATTGGCTGATAACGCTCCTTTTTTGCAAATTTTCCTTCCTTATATTTTGCGTTTATATTTTCCGTTTGTGTAGTTATGCTGTCAATCATAGAACATATATCGCAATGTATAGCTTAAAAATCTATATAACACCGCAGAGATAACAGTATAACGGAAAAATAAAAAAAATAATTAGTAAAATTATAAAACATATTAGTACTTGTTTTAAATCCCCATCATTAAACCACCATCCCTCTGACTCATTGGGTCCCATTTTAAATCCCTATAATTAAACCAGTCTGTTAACTTTTATGAACAATATCTACCTTGTATGGAGGTAAAAGCACAGGATTATATACAGAATACTCTGGATGTAAACAATTGATAGAAATATGTGACTGAAGATCACTGCATTTGTTTCTCTGCAATTCTAAAATGCCCAATTCTCATTATGAATGTTCCTGTACTGTGCGTAGCACGGCGCACTTAATTCAACCTGCAAATATTATTTATTTATTTATTTATAAAATATTTTACCAGGAAAGATACATTGAGATTTCTCTCGTTTTCAAGTATGTCCTGGGTCCACAAATCATTGCATTGTTACATTAGGTACAACAAAATACAAAAACAATATTAATACACAATATATACAAAATTTAACATAGAACAGGCAGGAAATATATAATCAACCATGACACGTGCATTCTGTTTTGAGGTATGTAGAGAGGGATCTCTTAAAAGACTTTAGGCTTAGGGAAGATTTTAAATTGTGCGGGAGGTCGTTCCACAATTGCGGCGCTCTGTAGGAGAAGGAGGATCGGGCCGCTTTCTTTTTGTATTGAGGTAGACTAAGTAAAGTGCTTGTACTGGATCGGAGGTTATAGAAAGTGGGAACAGCTGGGGAAAGCATTTTGTTCAGGTAGGGTGTGAGTTTACCAGAAAAGCTCTTAAAAACAAGGCTGGAAAGATGAAGGGTGCGTCTGGATTCCAGCGACAGCCAGTTTAGTTCCTTTAGCATGTCACAATGATGGGTCCTGTAATTACATTGTAGCACAAATCTGCAGAACGAGTTATACAATGTGTTGAGTTTATTAATGTGGGATTGCGATGCAGACGCATATACTACATCCCCATAATCAATGATTGGCATCAGCATTTGCTGTACAATCTTTTCCTTTACTGTAGGGCTTAGGCAGGCTTTGTTTCTGTACAGGGCACCTAATTTTGGATAAAGTTTAGATGCAAGCTTTTCTATGTGCAGGCTAAAAGATAGATTGGGGTCTAATATCATACCCAAGTATTTGAAAGAGTGGACCGCGGTCAGTGTGCCATTTGAATTTGTTTTGATGGATAGGTGGGGATTGTGTAATTTGTGTAATTTAGGTACCGTTCCAAAGATCATTGTGACAGTTTTGTCAGTGTTCAGGAAGAGTTTGTTTTTTGCGATCCACTTTTCTACCTCTGTAAACTGGTCTTGGAGCAAAACCTCAAGTTGAGGTAGATTGGATTTGCTCGCATAGATTACCGTGTCATCTGCGTACATGTGTACATTTGAGGATTGGCAGACATTAGGCAGATCATTTATAAATAATGTAAATAGTAGGGGGCCGAGAATGGAACCCTGGGGAACACCACACGTGACTGGGAGAGGGAGGGAGTCACTGTCAGAAATGGACACATATTGCGAGCGATCCGATACATACGATCGAAACCAGTTTAAAGAATGATCACCAATACCTGAGTTTTCGAGTTTGTGCAGTAGAATGTCGTGGTCTACTGTGTCAAAGGCCTTAGCAAAATCAAGGAAAATAGCTCCAGTTAGGGCTCCTTGTTCCATGCCAGTTTGGATGTCATTGCAAACTTTTAGGAGGGCAGTTGTAGTGGAGTGATTCTGGCGAAAGCCCGATTGATCAGGGGTCAGATAGTTTAATTGTTGGTAGTACTCACAAAGTTGCGTATGGACACATTTTTCTAAGATTTTTGACAATACAGGGAGCAATGATATTGGGCGATAGTTAGAAACCAAAGTAGTGTCACCACTTTTATGGATAGGCACTACTCTCGCAGTCTTCCAAAGTTTGGGTATGTATCCAGACACCAATGATTCGTTAATTAGAGTTGAGACGGGTTTAGCAATTGCCGGCGCACTGAGCTTCAACAGCATTGCTGGGATTTGATCAGGTCCGGACTGGTTTTTCATTTTTAGATTATTAAGATGTTTTTTAATGACACTAACAGGTACAGGTCTAAAATTAAACTTATCTATATTGGGCCTTAGCAAATTTAGTGGGGCCTGATCCACATTTGTAGTTTCAGGATGCGTGTCATTTATTAGCTTGGCAATCAGGGCAGTAGAGCATCCGACAAAATAATTGTTAAAGGCATTTGCTACATCTAAGGGAAGTTGCAGGGTTTGGTTACCCACTTTGACAGTGGAGGGTTGGGAGTGGATTGGGGGAGTTTGTAGTTTATTTATGACTTTCCAAAAGTTTCTAGGGTTTGAGATGTTACTGTTCAGATTTTCATAGAAATATTGGGCCTTGGCCAGTTTTGTGCATATATTTCGCCATTGTCTATATGCACTGTGATCATTCATAGAGCCAGTACGCTTAAATTTTGACCACAAAGAATCCCGAAACTGGTACATTTGGATGAGGTCAGCTGTGATCCAGTTCATATGCGCTCCTTTTACCCTCACCTTACGCAGCGGGGCATGCAAATTCCAAATTTGTAGGAGTTCAGACTGAAAGTATTCAACAGCACAGTCTAGATCTGGGATGATGTTTAATCTGTGCCATGGGAGATTCTTGATGTCATTTAAAAAGGATTCAAGATTAAATCTTTTGAAGGACCTAGTTATTTTAACCTTGGGAGAGGATTTAATAGCCTTTATTTTGCGCACGCAGTACACTAAACAGTGATCACTGAACGTGTTTGGGAGAACACCAGCCTCCTGGATTCTATCAGGAGAAGTGGAGAGAATCCAATCTAGCAGGGTATGGTTATGGCTTTTTATGTTTATGCGAGTTGGGGAGGAGATTAATTGCGTTAGCTGCAAAGTCTTAAACAGCGTGCAAGAACTATTATTTTTAGGGTTCAGCCAATCAATATTAAAATCTCCAAAGACCAACAGTTCACTTTTTGGGTTTTGAGCTATGGTTTCACTAAGGAGATGGGCTATGTCAGATAGGGAATGCACAGGGGAGCTAGGTGGGCGGTAGATTCCTGCAACAATGATTGATTTACTGCACGGGATCTCAATTTTGACAGAAAGGAAATCAAAGATGGCAGGAGGACTAAGGTTTTGTAAAGGGGTAAACTTTATGGAATTGTCAACATAAATAACAATGCCTCCTCCTCTCTTTGCTCTGTCATTTCTAAAACATGAATAACCCTGTATTGCAATGGCGGTGTCTGGTATTTTAGCCGTTAACCATGATTCTGAGAGCACAATGACTTTTGGTTTGTAATGGGAACACCAGGCTTGCAGTGCATCCAGTTTAGGGAGTAAACTACGGATGTTGCAGTGCACAAAAGAGAGGCCTTTTTTAGTGGGGAGATTAGGACTAGAATTAGCTGGGGGACCAGGGTTAGACTCCACATCATTTGCAAGGGCAAGTAACATAAGGAGTAGGAATTTGGACATCATCTTTGTTTGGCCATATAGTGAATGGGATAATTTATAATTTTGTGAGTTGGGGGTAGGAGGGCTATTTTTTATAACTCTCCACCAGCACTCAGCAGATAAGTTAAAGGAACAGAGCAGGCCATGGTGTATGATAATTTGTGTTCCAGTTTGAGGTGTGTGCTTATGCTGGTAGTGGTGTGAACAAAATTGGATTGAGAAAAGGGTTATTAAGAATAACAGTATGGTTATATTTGGATTCATGTTAGTGGTATGAGGTGTGTAGTTGAAAATGAAACAGAAATCACAAAAAACAAAAATTAAATAAAAGTATATAGTATTGGTGTGTGATATATCTATTTGTAGGGAGAAAGGGTATGTGTTCTATAGGGTTATTGAAAGAGATTGGAAGGGTGTGCTGATCAGTGTTTGCACCTGTCATTTCAGGAGATTGAAAGTTGTGTGGGAGACTATATATAAATGAGGAGGTGGGCGAGGGGTGGGAGGGAAATCAGTCTTCCAGAAGGCTACCTGTTTCAAATGGCCATGGAACAGCTGATGGAACTCTGAGTTCTATGCTGGACTGGGTATGTTTAAAAATCAGACTGTGGCTGAGAGATGTATATTAGGGTCAGATGGGCTAAGAGATGAGGAGAGGGGGGTGCATAGATGGACATTTGATTTAAGGTCATTTAAGGAAAAACAAAAGCTAAGATTGAGAATTACAGAGATAAGAGAGAGGTATTTAAGTAGGGAAATAAAACCATTAAACAAGGAAGAAGAAATATAAATGGGCCTGAGCTGGTTAAACTAACTTTTAACATGATGGACGAAGACAAAGGTGATAAAATACTTTGCATGATTAGCACAGGCTATAGTTACAAAGACATGAAAATGTATACATTGAAAATAATAATACTAAATAATAGTCACTAAATACAAAAACATACACATACAACAAAATTAACAGGGTATGTAGAAATATAATGAAACGTCAGTCTTCCAGAAGGCTACCTGTTTCAAATGGCCATGGAACAGCTGATGGAGCTCTGAGTTCTATGCTGGACTGCGTATGTTTAAAAATCAGACTGTGGGAGAGAGATGTATATTAGGGTCATATGGGCTAAGAGATGGAGGGGGGTGCATAGATGGACATTTGATTTAAGGTTATTTAAGGAAAAACAAAAGCTAAGATTGAGAATTACAGAGATAAGACAGAGGATTTAAGTAGGGAAATAAAACCATTAAACAAGGAACAGGAAAGATATATGGGCCTGAGCTGGTTAAACTAACTTTTAACATGATGGACAAAGACAAAGGTGATAAAATACTTTGCATGATTAGCACAGGCTATAGTTACAAAGACATGAAAATGTATACATTGAAAAGAATAAAACTAAATAATATATACTAAATATAAAAACATACACATACAACAAAAATTAACAGGGTACGTAGACATATAATGAAAAGTCAGTCTTCCAGAAGGCTACCTGTTTCAAATGGCCATGGAACAGCTGATTGATGGAGCTCTGAGTTCTATGCTGGACTGGGTATGTTTAAAAATCAGACTGTTTCAAATGGCCATGGAACAGCTGATGGAGCTCTGAGTTCTATGCTGGACTGGGTATGTTTAAAAATCAGACTGTTTCAAATGGCCATGGAACAGCTGATGGAGCTCTGAGTTCTATGCTGGACTGGGTATGTTTAAAAATCAGACTGTTTCAAATGGCCATGGAACAGCTGATGGAGCTCTGAGTTCTATGCTGGACTGGGTATGTTTAAAAATCAGACTGTTTCAAATGGCCATGGAACAGCTGATGGAGCTCTGAGTTCTATGCTGGACTGGGTATGTTTAAAAATCAGACTGTTTCAAATGGCCATGGAACAGCTGATGGAGCTCTGAGTTCTATGCTGGACTGGGTATGTTTAAAAATCAGACTGTTTCAAATGGCCATGGAACAGCTGATGGAGCTCTGAGTTCTATGCTGGACTGGGTATGTTTAAAAATCAGACTGTTTGTTTCAAATGGCCATGGAACAGCTGATGGAGCTCTGAGTTCTATGCTGGACTGGGTATGTTTAAAAATCAGACTGTTTCAAATGGCCATGGAACATATAGTGAGGGAATAGTCGGCACTGCACAGTAATTTATATAGCACCAACATATTCTATAGCGCTGTACAAGTAAGGAATATAGACAAACAATATACTTATACGGATATCCTAAACCTCTAAAGAGCTGGTTATTGAGATTGTGTGTCAGTCCCTTTTTAACAGCATTGTATGACCATCCTCAGCACGTTTTATTTCTTCGGATATTCGTCACACAAGAACCCACTTACGCAGCGGTAAATCGGATATGTACTACATTATTTAAGACTGGTATGGCTTACTGAGAGAATCTTGTAAGTACTTGGAAATAACACCGAAACAGAACCCTCTGCTGTTAAACTTACCCGTTGCATCAAATGTAAGAGCGAAAATTTTACTAGCCACAGGCCAACGGAACATATTTTATACCAATACTCTTCAGTGAAAATGTATTGTTTTTTTTTGTTTTGTTTTTTTTAAGACAAAAGATCACAGAGGCATGCAGTATTCTAAAAAGCTTGTCCAGTTCACAGATGGTACACCTCAACACTCCCAGCTGTTAATTTCGGATGAAAAAGCATACAGCGCCATGAGAATTGTTGGTAGAACAGCATCATTTACCATTTAAAAAAAAAAATATGCTAAAAACAATGAAACATTACTTAGTGTATGCTTGATGAGGTCCATTTAAACTGGTTATCAGCTGACAGTGTTTGGTGTCATTATAGAGCCACATTGTTTAAAATATCAGTATTTTATGTATTTGACCTTTTTTTTTTATCGGTAATTGTAGTATAACATAATTATTATCCTCCTTCTGTCCACTTTTTTTTTTTTTCTGCAATAGTGCAACAGTACACAATGTAACCCTGTAGTGGTAATTATTGCAGTTTACTAAAAACTGCAATAATTATCTGCCAGGGTTAACTCCACCTCTAGCGACTTTTGGTCGCCCAACTAACGCTGGATGTCAGCTTCACTCAAAACCCCATAGGATAGATTTATACAATGCTTTCCTATAGGGGAGGTCCTAATGCAAGCACATTAAGAACCCCCGGCTGACATCAGCGATGAAGGAGCAGAGGCAGAGTATCCCTTGGCGTTGGAATCAGGTAAGTGACAGGCTTATTTTTAACCCCTTCTGCACAACGGGGAGTGGGGCCGCACTATAGGGAGAGTTAGTGCTTGGAATACAATTTTACTTTCCTGGCACTACAGTTTCCCGTTCATTGTTAGTACAAAGCTAGTGGCAGCACAGTTTACCATTGGTTGTATGACTAAGATTAAAAACTGCTACAATCCCAAAACCTTGTGCAGAACTTTATATGTAAGGTTCACCATTCCTATAGAAAGTTATGACTGATCCAAGATTGTCTTCGGGCTTTCCAACTATTCTGGCGAAGATAACCTTTTAAAATATACAGACACACACACAAAAAAAACAAGGAGGGGTATCCATTCCAGCATCAGATTTAAATACCTACCACCAGATTTTACCCAGAGATATCTAGGGATTTCCAGTTCCGCTGGTTGTCTCCTAGCAATTCAAGGCACAATCTTATTGTAAGTGCTAAGATAACTGCTGTCCAAGGTCGAACGTTGTTTGTGTCAGTTAGAACCGTGTGTCATTTTTACATGAAATATACAAGAACCCACTGAACAGGTTTTAAATTCAACCACATAAGATACAGGCAGTGTTATTCTTCCACCACCCATACGGTTTCCAGCAGTAGACCACTGTCCCCCTTGATGTGCTCAACCTTTCGAAGTGATAACAATGGCTCTCCCGATTAGCTTTTTCTGCAGGTGGTAAGGCCTCACCATTAGTTTACAGTGGTGAGAGTGTTTGTAGGTTAACTGGTGAAGTTGCAAAAACCTCACCAGGTAACCTAACCAAACCATAAATAGTCTCATCCCAAATCCCCCTGTATTTCTTTATATTTTGTGCTTTGCGTACCTCGAGCTCTTCCACAGACCCATTGTAGATTTCTGAGAGTTATAGTTCAGCTATCATACTTTTACGTTAGAAAGCTGAACACTGGACAGCAACTCTCTGAAACACCTGCTACGCAGATGTCATAGCGGTTATAATGGTGTAGAAAAATACTGCAAATTGGAGTGGATGGATAGAAACTGTGTGCTGATGGAGCATTTAACAAAACCACAACATATAAAGGGATACTATAGGCACAGTGTGTTAAATTTAGAATTTTGTTTTCTCTACGGCTGTTAATAGCCTCATAGAGCCTGCAGAGGCCTCGTGTGTGATTTATGTTCAATTAACAGAGCAGGAGATAAACACTTCTAAAATAAGATAAGACCTGAAACTAGTATTTTATGGAGTAGGTGGAGCTAAAGCAGCATAAACAGAAAAAGGTATTTTAACTCAGCCACAACATTAAAACGGACAGGTGAAATGAATAACATTAATTATATCGTTAAAGTGGCCCATGGCAAGGGGTGGGATATATTAGGCAGCAAGTGAACAGTCAGTTCTCGAATTTCATGTGTTAGAAGCAGGAAAAGTGGGCAAGCAAAAAGATCTGAGTGATGTTGACAAGAGACAAATAATGCTGGTTAGATGACTGGGTCAAAGCATCTCCAAAAGGGCAAGTTTTGTAGGGTGTTCCTGGTATCCAGTAACTACCAAAAGTGGTGCAAGTAAGGACAACCGGTGAACTAGTGCCAGTGTCATGGGCACCCAAAACTCATTGATGCACATGGGGAGCAAAGGCTAGCCCGTCTGCTGCAAATACACAGAAACCTACTGTAGCTGAAAAACTTTGTAAGCTACGATAGAAAGATGTCAGAACACACAATACATCCTGGTATGCTAGATGTGGGGCTGTGTAACCACAGACTGGTCACAAGAGTGCCCATGATGAACCCAGTCCACAATCAAAAGTACCTTCAATGGGAACTTGTGCGTCAGAACTGGACACTGGAGCAATGGAAAAAGGTTGCCTGGTCTGATTAAACTTTTTTTTTTTTTTTTGATCAGGTGTATTGCCAGGTGTGTATTTGTCATGTACCCGAGGAACAGATGTCAGCAAGATGCTCTACAGAAAAAAAAAGCAGGCCTGTGGAGGCAATGTTCTGCTGGGAAACCTTAGGTGGTGGCAATTATGTGGATGTTACTTTGACAAATACCAACTACCTAGAGATTGTTGCAGACCACATACACACTTTCATGACAATGGTGTTCCTGGATGGCAGTGACCTCTTTTAGGAGGATAATGCCCCCTGCTACACTGCAAACATTGTTCAGGAATGGTTAAAGGCATGTGACAGTTCAAGGTGCCACCTTGGCCTCCAACTTCACCAGATCCCAATCAGAATGAGCATCTGTAGGATGGGCTGGAACAAGATATTCAATTATTCGAGGCCCCACTTAAAGGATCTGCTGCTAATATCTTGGTGCCAGATACCACAGCACATGTTCAGAGGTTTTGTGGAGTCTATGGCTCAATGCATTCCATCTGTTTTGGCAGCCAAGGAGGACCTACACGACATTAGGTAGGTGGTTTTAACATCTTGGCTCATCAGTGTATACACCCAAACTGCTTCATGATATATAGTTCAAAGGGATACACTATAGGCATCAAAACAAAAACTAGAATTTAAGCTATGTCTATTCAACCATAATTCACCTTTCATATTAAGTGCACCCGGCACTTATCTATAATTTTGTTCAGGAGAAACAGGGCTTTCATTTCACATCAAATATTTACATATGAAGCATTCTTTAATATTAAAGGACCACTCTAGGCACCCAGACCGCTTCAGCTTAATGAAGTGGTCTGGGTGCCAGGTCCCTCTATGATTAACCCATTTTTTTTTTTTTTTATAAACAGTTTCAGAGAAACTGCTATGTTTATAAATGGGTTAATCCAGCCCTCAAAGCCTCTAGTGGCTGTCTCATTGACAGCCGCTAGAGGCGCTTGCGTGATTCTCACTGTGAAAATCCCAGTGAGAACACGCAAGCGTCCATAGGAAAGCATTATGAATGCTTTCCTATGAGACTGGCTGAATGCGTACGCAGCTCTTGCCGCGCGTGCACATTCAGCCGAAAGGGAGGAGAGGAGGAGGAGAGCTCCCCGCCCAGCGCTGGAAAAGTGTAAGTTTTAACCCCTTTCCTCTCCCCAGAGCCAGGCGGGAGGGGCACCCTCAGGGCACTATAGTGGTCCTTTAATAAAACCTTTAAAACATTGTCGTTTTTCAAGTTCTCCACGTCAATGCCATAATACTGTTAGATTTTACTGCAACAAAAAAAATACACAGTAATGTCTCACAGTATCCAGTTACAGGGTCAAATATAGGGCTTGCCTATTTCAGTTTGCCAGATTGGTTTGCTGGGTACATGCTGCCTTTGGGACCATATGGAAATCAAGAATGAGAATTACCCCTGGCCAAAGTTAGAGTTCATATTATTTTCCCCCCTCACACAAAAACGGCACTTTCACTTCATCTTCATTACAAATTTTAAAACACTCATTTGTGATCAGCAAAGTCTCACGAGTTCAACAGTTGGGGGACCTTCCTGACAACCCAGGCAGTACTGTAGACTGTGTGATTTTCTGCAGGGGGACTGCATGGGTTGTCAGGTAGTCCTCCCCATTCGAAAGGGAATCTAAGTTAAGGCGTACCATGACGTCCTAGTGGCGATTAAGCCCACTTTTTCAGGACAGCACGGTATGTCCTGTGTTAATGAAGTAGTTTGAGTGAATATGTACAGATGATGTCCCTGTAGTCTCACTGCTTAATTCTCTGCCATTTAGGAGTTAAATCACTTGTTTCTGTCCATGCAGCCCTAGCCACAACTCCTATGGCTGTGACTCTCACAGCCTGCATGAAAAAAAATAGTATTTCAGATGTTAACTTGTTTTTATCCCTTGTTTTGTGAATTGAATCACACACACAGTAGGTTCCTGCATTAAACAGACTGTGCAATAAAGGAACCTAAAATATCTGTTTATTTCAGGAAACGTTCAGGAAGGCTGTGCAAGTCACTGCAGGGAAGTGTGTGACTAGGGCTCTATAAAAAACAAAAACAAAAAAAAACAAAAAACTGAGCAGTGAAGCTGCATGGGCATGATCTATACACCAAAACAGCTTTATAAAGCTAAAGTTGTTTTGGTGCCTATAGTATCCATTAGAAAAACAAACAAAACATTTTTTGCTGTGTTTTTGAATGTACATTTAATGCAGACAAAATAAAAGTCCACAAAACGCAAATTACTCCAATACAGACCTTTTTAATGTAGAGCATATCAGAGAAAATACAGCATGGTTAGAAAAAAAACAAACAAAAAAAACAAAATTGATATCGATTTTGGGTCCAACACATGTTTCACACCTCTTTTTTTAAATGCGTTTTATACAAGAAATAAAAGGAAATATAGCCTTAAAGCTTCAATGTTCATTACGTGCGACAATATGAAAATGGTCTCATTTACAGACTTAAGTTTATATATATATATATATATTTAAAATTGTTAAGAGCTACATTTCCCAATCCCTGCGGAAATAAATTCTACAAAACAGACAATGCTTTAAAATTAAATGGAACACCATATGTTTCTATTTTGAAGTTAAATGTATGAAATAAACGTGTGCAGTGCTGCAATGTTATTATAGCCACGTGTAAATTGTCCGACTCCCTGCAATTGATCCATTGAAGAAAGAGAGGGGAAGGGGGGACAATCACAGCAAAGGAATAGACCAAACTGATATGGGTCCGCACAGAGGTTTATCTTGGCTCAATAATGGACCTTCACCGGAATAAAGAAAGCTGCAGTCCAAGGAAAAGTGGACAGTTAAATGTTGACCAACGCTTACCACGGATATCCTACTAGTGACCATGACTAGCAACAAATTGAGGGATGCGGCCAGCGGACTGAAAGCCCTTGCACAGGTATTTTTTTCTACAGAACTGGTGCTTGCTATAGCCACTAAAAAGGATTGTAATGAAGCTAATCCAACATTAACTTTTTCTTGTGATTAGATCACTTTCTTACCCCTCAATTTTAAATATACTTCCAAAAAAAAAACAACAAACACATTTTATTTACCGAGTGTCTTGGTAAAGTAAATTGTCAAACTTATAAAATCATTTATTTATTTTTCAAGGATCTTTGTTACAACCAAAAATATGATACGCTCAGCTTTCTTTCAAAATGGTGATACCCCAGAGCGTCTGAACACTGTAAGCCCAGAGGGCTTCCAGAAATGCAGTCTTTGTGCCCTATTGATATGGCTTCTGTGACCAATGAGCCCAGCCACTTGCTTGGTTACAAAGTTATTTTCATACCTGTTCAAATCCACACCCCCCCCTTACTTCATCATCCTGAAATCAAACACCAGTTCCTTAACTAAATGTAACAATGAGGGGCAGAGAAAAAAAAAAAAAAAATAGGAAGAAAACAGGAGAAAATTATATATGTATATTAAACAAAAAAATATGTTAGTACATTAGAATAACATAACTGTACAGATTTCCTTCCAAGTAGGAAACATCAAAAAAAATATCTAATTTTGGATGTTCCATACAAAATAATAAAAAAAAAAAAATATATATAAGAGTGGGAGCAGACATCTCAGGAGCCACAAAAGAGCCAGGCTGGTGATATTACATGCACGCCAGTATGAAGGGGGCGGTTTGAGAAACTCATGTTACAGTGCGCCTGAATAAAACCACAAACTGGGAAGGCCATGCGGTGTGTGCGTGTAATGGCAGTGCTGGGAACAGGTCGAGGTATTCATAAAACAAATGGATCCGTAGTGTGCATTCTAGCTTGTAAAATTCATTAATTTTCCTCTTCCATGCCCACATTTTCCTGGGGGCTCTCTGGAATGGATTAGAAGAGGCATTCTAATAAAACATTTTTTTTAACCATTACACATCTCTGCAACTGCCCCCTAATTGCTGAACAGACCTGCAGCACACTTTCCACCCTCCAATGCTATATAATCTTAGAGTGCAAATAGCTACAGTGTATAGAGGTGTAATGTGTCATTAACACAATTCAAATACCAAACTAGCTGGAAATCTAGGGGTGAAAAAAAACAATAATAAAAAAAAAAAACCTCACCTTGGAATAGCTCTGGGGGAAAAATTACTGATTATTACGAGACAATAACCAGAGGAAAATTGCCATCAGGATGGTTTCTTATCAATCGTAATGATCTTAACCCAAAACACTAGAATCTTGGGTCTGATGGCGCTATTCACAAAAAGACCAGAGTGTTGCCGAATACATCTCAAAATACCGCGTTCACTTTTACCCATTGATTTACAAGAGAATTAATCCCATTGCTGTGGACAATGGAAGATATGCTGCAATTCTGCAGTGCAAGCTTTCTAATGAAAAACCATCTGCCTGTCCCTACCACAGACTGATATGGAAACCTCTCTCTGCAGCAGTGAAGGAAGAGGTGAGCTGCACGTATGATCTTCAAGGAAAGGGTAGTGTTTTTTTTCAGAGGGGATTAATACTGCTAAGCATGTATAAGGCACAGTGTGAGATCGCTGCTCCCACTCGCACAGGCGCGCAAACACATACACTCACACGACACAGACGTGTGTGCGAGGAAATTACATGCCCGCCCGGGAGACAGCAGAGGTGCTGGCCAGCTCTGCCAAGATGCTGAACAGGATGGGAATTGGGTGGGAAGGGGGCAAAGGGGAGGGTGGTGTTCACACAGAGATCACTTCTGGTTCTTCAGCTGGTTAGAGAGCCAGTCCAAGCCCTCATAGAGACCGTCTCCACTAGTCGCACAGGTGGCCTGAATGAACCAGTTCCTGTGACGCAGAGAATGCAGGCCCAATTTGTCTGTGATTTCAGCAGCATTCATTGCATTCGGAAGGTCCTAGGGAGAAAAAGGGAGAAAACTACTTAGAAAGCAAAAAGGAAATAAAAAAAAAACAACAGCTCAGCACTCAAAGGACTAACATTAAGAAGTCACACTAAGCAGAACAATGCATCATTATCATTGAGTGTAACCAATATCTCTATTGAGAAAGGCTTATAAACTGCCGAGATATTGCAATGAATATATAAGAACTCAAGATGTCAAAAGGAAGCTTACAGGATCAGAAACAAGCAAGTGAACTTACATTAAACACCAACTGCTTTTTTTCAGTAGCGTATTGGGCTCAGTTAACAGACCTACTGTTTGGAATCAGAGACATTTGGGACAGGGTCATCCTTACCTGTTTATTTGCAAACACTAAAAGCACTGCATCCCGTAGCTCGTCTTCTGCCAGCATTCGTGTTAACTCCTCTCGAGCTTCATTGACTCTCTCTCTGTCATTGCTGTCAACCACAAAAATGAGTCCTGCAGATGAAGACACAAAAACTGAACATCAAGCCACAGTACAATATCATTTGTGCCTCACAGTACAGTAAAGGAACCTACTGAGAAGAAAGGCAGACAATAAGTGCAAGTTTGCACACTTGAAGGGACACAGAGCATCATGCTGTAGTGATTATGGTTCCATGAGTCCCTTCGGCACGGTCACAGAGTAAGGTGTTTATAACAGTTTGACACCAACCTGTTTCTGTTGGATGCTGCAACAGCTATGCCATTATGAACAACTATAACTAAAGTGAGATGTTCAGATGTTGCTCTTTGCTAAATAATAATGCCCAAACTTCTTATGTTAATGCAGGAGGACAAGGGGAACCTAAAGGAGCCAGTGGACTTATGGCACTACGACCATCATATGATGTATCTCTTCACAAAAAAAAAAAAACACTTGCTAGACATAATATATGTTTTCTTTTGCAAGTGGGATGTTTACTATGAAGCAGAGTAGAACAATTTGGTGGAAAAAAGGTAAAGTTTCAGAAAAAAAAAAACAAACAAAAAAAAAAAAACACATTACATGGTTCTGGTAGGGATTGATCCACTTTTAAAATTCTCTCAAGTTTTGCTCAAATGTAACGGATGACACCTGAGGCCCTATTGAAAGAGGTGTGCATAATCAAAGTATCTTGAGAGTTCTGATGCTTTATAGCTCTACACCTTCGTTAAGAGTATTTGTAATTTTATTTTTTGAAACTGATCACATGGTCCGTGGCTTTCTATATTTAGAGTTCACAAGAAATCTGTGAATATTTTTATTATATTGCTACGAAATGGTAGTTTGGGCATTTTTTTGGATGTACAGGGTCAATAAAATTAAACAAATTTACTCAAAATTTCTATTTTAAGAACTGTAAACTGCATTGAAATATAATATCTGCATTCCAAATAGTGTATTTATTTAGATCAAGTTGCAGAGTGTTTGAAAAACAACTTTCAGATTGTCAGGTGACAGAAGATCTCCAAGCTAACGCAAACAGTTTGCAAACTCACTTACTGAAACAATCATACACAATGCTGAAACAGATTTTAATCCCCATGATTAGGGTTTCGTAAGCAAATTGGAGCAACCCTTTGATACGTCTTATTTTAAAGGGTTGCTCTAAGCATCATAATTAAAACTGCGTGGCAACAGCAAGGTGCCTTTTACATAGGGTTATTGAGCATTTATAAAGTTAAAGGAACCCTCCATCCTAAACAACTGTGTCTCAGAAACTTGTTAGGGCACTGAGATCCCTCCTTAATTCACAATGTTAAACCCCTTTCAAACATCAGCTGACACAGTCAGACTATAACCAACACCCAAGCCAATCCTTCCTGATCAGCGAGGAAGACTTGAGGAGAACAGAAAGGAGGCAGTGTGGATGTCATCAAGGGACAGAATTTGGGGGTTAAACGGTTTGAAAACCTGTAAGGTAAGAAGGCAGCCAGGGACTTCAACCCCGGCCATGAATATTGCACACGCTTGTCCTTTCAATCACAGATTGCCAGCCATGTGAAATTGATGCTGTTCACACTCAAACGTGAACCAACTGTTGCAGTTGAAATGCCAAAACCTACATACATACCCTGAGTGTTCTGGAAATAGTGACGCCACAGAGGCCTGATTTTGTCCTGACCACCAACGTCCCAGACAGTGAAACTTATGTTCTTATATTCTACAGTTTCAACATTAAAACCTGAGAGAGAAGAAAAACAAAGGTTAAGCATATGTCCTGTTGCCTGAGCACCACAAACATTTACTGAAGAGTTGAGAAGGCTTGGTACCTATAGTTGGAATGGTAGTCACAATTTCACCAAGCTTCAGTTTGTACAAGATAGTGGTCTTTCCAGCTGCATCCAAGCCAACCATAAGAATTCTCATCTCCTTTTTGCCAAAGAGGCCTTTAAACAGATTAGCGAAAATATTCCCCATTGTAGTGTGTTTCCAACCTGGTAATGCAAAAGGAGAGCAAGATTAGGACAAAGACAAAGGTTTAATACATCTTTAATGGACGTTAAAGAGACACTAGTCACCAGTACAACTAAAGCTTATGTAGTTTTAATGGAGTCTATAGCCTGTCCCTGTATGCTTTTTAATGTAAACCCTGCCTTTTCAGAGACAATGCAATGTTTACATTGCTCCCTAGGGACACCTACAGTAGCAGTAACTCAGATGACCACAAGAGATACAGCACTGCATACACTATTGAGGCGCTGAACGTTCCCCATAGATATGTACTGATTTAATGCATCCCTATGATGAAATGCTGATTGGCACAGCACGCGTTTTACAGTGCATGAGCAATAGCCGCCCGATGCTTTCCTATGGGAAAGCACTGGATTAGTTGAGATCATCAAGTTTGATGATCTTAGCCAAGGTGGCAGAGCCAATCTCGAGGAGACCCACACAGAACTAGAAAAGGGGGGAGTAAAATCATCTTTCACTCTTTTCACAGGGGGGCTGTGAACCTAAACAGTTATTTTATAACTATAGGGTCAGGAATACACATTTGTATTCCTGACACTATCGTGCTCTGTTAAGAAAAATAAAAATCAACTTCTCAACAAAAGAAAAACAGGAATGGTTTCAGATTTAGCAAAAAACAGTTAAAGACAGAGCTAGAATTATAGGACCCAGGACATTTTATCTCAATTAAGCAGTCTGGGTGCACTGGTCCTGTCCTTTAAATTGTGCAATGTAAAACACTGCAGTTTTGGAGAGCCAGCAGAGGCGCTTCCACGGTGCAGACTGAGTAAAAAACTGTTAAGTAACGTTGAAGCCCCCATAGGAAAGCATTGATTCAATGCTCTCTTATGGGGAAGCTTGGATGTGTGCACTGTGCAGGAGGCATCAGGTCCCACGTCTCCTCAGTGTTGTTGCTAGAGGCAGAGGTCTGCACCAACCAAAGAGCCTCTGCTGGAAAAATGTTGGCAAATCTTTTCTTAGTAGTAATGATACCAGGAACCGAATTTCCCTGTCTAATGGTAATGACTCATATCATTTTTGAATGGTCTAAAATTCATGTGTCCCTCTGGCTTCTATGGTTCTTCTGATAATCTTGGATAATACTAAAGCAAAAATTTGCATCCAACTTTGGACATCATTCACTGATTTAGTATGTCAGCTGATGGTTTCAGTGTATGAACTAATTCTAACAAAATAAATCTTGTATTGCAGATCAAAGATCTATCCAGCATTCTGAATATATACTGGAGGCGAATGCATAATCATTTGTGGGGTGGAGTACAGACTTCGTCTAATGCAAGATTCCATCTCTTTTGATGGCTAAATGACCGACATGTATGATTATAATAAAGCAACGGACAACATACACAACTCCTGGCACTTTAGTTGCTATAGACCAGGATTAATTCTCATCCTTATATGAAAAATTAGCAGCTTCACCTTCAGGTCCTTATTTGACAGCCTGACAAGTCAAACATATTGTTCAGGAATAGTATCACCACACCATAACTTCAATAATCTGGCTCAATCACCATGTGGGATCCTTGCATAATTTGCAAAGATCCCTGACAGTGGCTGCTCTGCTGGCAGTGCGGTGGCCGAGGAGTGCAGTGGAAGAGGAGTTGTACTTTCCTGAACCAGTCCCCCGTGGTCGCTGCTATTGTCTTCCTGTTTGTGTTCTTCGGCTTCTGGCGCGTTATCTGCCAGGAGCTCACACCAGCGCTGTACTTACGTGCATGCTCAAAAGTACAACACCAAGGTCCATGGATAATTTTGCAAGACTGTGGGATCCTCCATAGACCGAGCCTTCCCCCCCATAGCCGTCACTAACTGCTGAGGGCTTGACAAAAGGTAGCCCTGCCGACTATAAAGCCGACCTAACTTTGTCTCAATATATCTTTTGACTTGGTTGGAATTTCACTGAAATCTTAAAACCGTAAGTGTACTTTGTAAAGATGTTTAGCTTTAATTTTGGATGGGGAGGTGATAGTGCAGCTTTAAAAGGTTACATTCTCCCACAATGGACACATTTATAGAGCAAAACTTAGACTGATTGAAAACGTTTAAAACCAAGCACACTGTTAGATTATAACAGATCGCGCTTTGAGTATATTTAGCTGATATCTATGCAATTAATTTTTTTCTCTGGCCTCCAAGGCCACTAGGAGAGGCGGGGTAAGAATGCACTGGAGAGTCCATCGTCACAGCCCTAATGACTCCTTTCTTTACAGAGTACATTCCTCTGGTTAGCCAACAAGGTTTATTGTCTACAAAGTCCATTAAATTTGAGAAAGACAATCCCTGAATATGCTGGGCTGTGGGGAGGTTACCATGGTAACTGTGGACCTGCAAACAGTCAATGTACTGTGCCTGAAGCTTAAGAAATAATGCAGATATACAGCGTGTACGCATACAGTAGCTAGCACCAATCATTACAGGAATAACAAAGAAATGCTGAAAATGATATAATCATCAGGTGGACAAATCGCGATACATTTATTACTCAGACTTCTCCAGCCCCAATATATGCGCTGAACAAAGCTACTATCTAATCATACAATTTGACAGAAAATAAATAATGCTCTAGTTTAGATTTTCAACTGTTTAAAAAAAATTAAAATAAAAATATATATGTATATCCCTCCCACGTCTTCTCCCCCAAAACGTTAAATTCTGGAAATTTTAAGTGCTGTCTCTAAACACATGCTCAGCTTTACTTGAGGGAGGGGAGAAATTCAGAGGAAAATCACCATGGAAACTCAAGGTTTCAAGCAGGAAAAAGATAAGGCGCACATTTTAAAACATTTAGTATTACAACTACAGTGGGCTGCAGTGGTTATGGTGATTGGAGGTCTCCTTTAACACATGTACATTCGAGTCTGTAAAAGAGGTATAAAATCATTCAACCTCTAAAATAAAGGTAAAAAAAATAAAAACTTATTTCTAGGCATACATAAAATACTCTGACAAACATTTGCTATTGGCTATATTAGATGTAAAAAAATGCCGTATTGGAGAGACGGTACCTTTTACCTTAAAGCCACTACTACTGCTTATGTAGCAAGTACAGAGTCAGATTCTGTTCTTGAGGTTTGATGTCCTTACGCATTGCACAAGGACATGAAACGTTGAATCAATGCTTCTCTAGAATTGGACGAGAAGTTTGTGAGATGTCAGCACGCTTGCTGACACCCCCGACCCCCCCCCCCAAAAAATAAGGGCAGATCAGCGACTGAATGGACCAAGCTTCCGCACCAGAAAAAGGGCTATTACCTTTGATTATTTCGAGAGGGAAAAAAAGGGGATGGTACAGAGGTGACTGATGCAGGGACCTTTTAATCAGCATCTAGTAATTACGATACCTAGGCTGTCCCCTTTAACATTTACCTTTGTAAGTCAATCTGGATGTGGAATAAAATATTTTCATTAAATTAGTGTTTAAATAAGACCTCGACTTATAATAGCAAATTATTGGTGGAAAAAATATTTACAATGGGATTCTAGTTATTTTTCTTTCCATTTCTCTGCAGTATGCATTTCCCTGATGATAATTGGCGCTTTCCACTCTATTCTGTATTTACACCCACATTATATTTTATACTGAATTAATGGACAACAAAATAAGCAAAACACCCTATGGAAATGTGTGCTTAAATACTCCCTGCTGTTCATTGATGATTCATATGTGGGAGACAATCACGACAAGGTTGCAGTGAATGTGAAAGGCAAGTTCTTGTCTTGTAACAAGCCGAATTAAAGAGAAACGGTTACATCTGTAAAAGTGATAGCTGCTCAGTCCTTCAGTCCTAGTAAATGCCAATAAAATGAAGCAAGGAGTATAAAAGAGGCCAGTATTAAACCCCAAACGACTGCAACGCAATTCTGTGTGGGCGATGTCACTTTATTCTTCATTATTTTGACAGATCTAATGAAGTCCATCAGATATGGGGTCCAAAATACTGAAATGTTTGTGTATGTGGGGGGTGTATACATGTATGATTACATAGTGTAGCCAGAGTTGGGTGCAGTGTATTTTTTTTCCCCAAATGCCAAAGATTGCAACACTTATGCAGAACCAGAGAGTGTTTCGGGATGTTCAGAAAGCAGTTTGAAAGTACTCAGATAGAGGCCCTTTTTAAGTGCAGGGTTAGCTAGGATGATAAAACAGACTATCCTAATGAAGTGCATCCACTGCAACCAACTAGCCCAGAGTAAAATCAACTGTAGTACACAAGAAATTATGAAACTATGATTAGCACTTAATTTGAGGTATATTAAAATTATGTGATATTTCAAGAATATATCCAGACACTTGCTTAGTGCCCTACTAACTCAATTGTGTCTAACAGGCCAGGCTGACATCACAAAACAAACAAAAAGTAATAACTTAAAAAGAACAATGAGGCATTCAGCTCACTTGAACGTATTCATATAAATAATATGCAGTTGAGGAGTAAAATCTAAGCAAAGACCAAGCCCAAAAGCTTTGCAATTGTCGCAAGTTAATATTCACTGAAAGATACTTCCTCAAAATTCATTTCCTGGAATGCACAGCTTGCCGATGAGAACATGTGACTAGCAACGTCTACCATATGACTGACGTAAGGAAACAGCATAAAAGAATAAAGCCAACATATTAAAGCAGCACTTCCTTGGTCTGTGGACTTTGCTGTATCCACAAAGTCTCCAAAATGTGACATTGCCGTTGGGGTCCGGAGGACAAGGGGGTTGACACATCTAGGAGTGTCAGGTGAAGGAAATATACAGAGTCAAAGTAGTCCCTACTTTTGCTTAGTATATCTCTTGACTGGGTTGGAATTTAAGTGAGATTCCAACACAGTGAAAATGAGTATTTCAATTTTCAAAAACATACCCACAACAAAGCAGCTCTGATTTACGATTTATAGGAAAACACGGTACCACAACCACAGTGATTATGGTGCCAGAAATATCCCAGTGCCCTATCATGTAAGAAGTCACAAGGCGCATGTCTCAGCCTCTCAGGAGTTAAACCCTTCCACACAAGGCTAGCAACACCAGACTTCAGGGGATAGAGCATCCAGCGAGAGCAGGCATAGGCAACCTACAGCACTCCAGATGTTGTGGATTATATCTCCCACGATGCTCTTACAGCCTTCATGCACGCAGAGAATCAGGGGAGATGTAGTTCACAACATTTAGAAGTCAAATGCCCTTTACAGGTGCTTGGAGTGTCCCTTTAATTTTATTACTACTAAAGCTGCGATTTGCATATCTGCTAAATGAAAGAATCTTTGCAACTGCTGTCATTCAACATTGTTTTGTCACATCAGCACCATGTGATATAAAGTGCTACATAACTGGAGACTGAGGATTTAGTGGCAACACTACTGGTGTAGGAAGGGCCACACCATCTGTGGGCACTTATTTATATAAAGACATATTACTTGCTACTAGTGCATTAAAATGAGCAAAAACAACAAGAGGAAATAAAATCAGAAAGTGAATTAAAAACTCCAGGTTATGCATATGCAATGACATGCAAGATGCTTACTCTGAAAGCACCTTTCCTATAAGTCTGTATCAATCACAGTAACTTGAATGTTACATAAACGTAAAGCAAAACTATGTCAAACAATATTTTGTACCCTGTGTTCCTTAATTGTTTTAGATTACATGGCCTCCCTTTTTTGGTAAAACTCACAAATTAACCTCCCGTTATTCCAGTGCCAATGCAGACTTCTTCTCACTGCAGTCTGATACTGGTTTGCGAAAGTCATCAAGATTGAGGATTTTTGTCCAATCCAGGCATTGTGATATGCCAATCCAATGCTTCCCTATAAGAAGCAATGAATTAATTGCATCTTAAGAAGCATTGGAAGCACACACAGCATCAGCATACGTTGGCAGATGAAATGTATGCACTTACAGAGATTAACCCCTTTGCTCCACCTCTGGCAGTGTCATCAGCCAGCCCAAGACTAGAGTTCCAGGCTTACAAATGTCAATTCCGTAGATCTTCCATTGCACAGAATGACAATCATTGGCAGAGAGTGATCAGCTGATGTTCTCAGCCAACGAATGTCAAACACTGCGATCTTTGGATTCTTCAGTCCAGCAAAAGCCAAAGGCTTTATGATGTATTAGGCCACCAGAGAGCATCGGAGCCTGGCAAGCGGGAAAACTGTTGCTAAATGGTTTGACGCATCACCAGGAAACCAGGCCAGGGTATTTTCTAGTATCAGAACCATTACAGCAGGATATAGTGGTTATGATCTCTGGAGTAACCCATTAAGAATAAATTATATTTATTGAGAGATCGGCAACAAATATATTTCAACTGAGATCGTGATTAAAGGGGGGTGGGGTTCTTTTAACAAATACTGAACATACCTGTTAAGGCACTAAATAACGGGAATAACCAGTTGCCTCATATCTTTTGTCATGGTCAGGCACTTGCAAAACTAAACCAGGTTTGGCTTTCTTGAAATATACGAAGTGGTAAATGTATAGGAGGAGCATAAACAGAACTGGAAAATCCAACTTAGCTGTGATAGATGAGCAACAAGCAACGTGCTCCACGTTTCTTTACACAACGATGTAATCTTCAATAGTCTTCCAGGTCTGTTATCAATATAACATACATATACACGCACACAGAAGTTTACTAAATTTTAAGCTGAAAGGCATGACTTTATTCATAATTTAATAGAATTGCTTATGTTTTACAATACACAACGTGAACTTGCTCAGAGAGAAAGGGGTATCTACAAGTGATGTTTGGAGTTAGTCCTGAATAGCTGGTGAATAAATATTTTCGTTTGTAACAAACACTAAATTCTGATGCATTGAAACTGATTTGGCTTAAATGTTTTCAATTCACTGTTTAGTAAAATAAATAGTGATGGCAACCAATACATTTTTGCAAGACAAGAATTACTTTCCTTAAAAAGTATAAAAAAATAAAAATAAAATAAAATAATAAAAAAAAAAATCACAAAAGGCCATCAAACTTGCATAGCCAAAAGAACAACCTACTCCACCGAGAGAGACATAAAAAGGCGTATGGCTAACAAAATCCAAGAGAATTATCTGGAATAATAAACTAGTTTACAGAGCAATTGTCCTGCTTTTACGGATATACATCAGTAGGCAAAGACTTGTAAATATGATTGTCAACGGTCGATGAATATGAATGAAAGATAAAAAGAAAAAAGGAGTTTAAGAGAATGCAAACACTGCTGCTATTCCAGATACACCATTCACTCCGCATAAAGCCTTAAAGGACCACTATAGTGCCAGGAAAACAAACTCATTTTCCTGGCACTTCAGTGCCCTGAGGGTGCCCCCAACCTCAGGGTCCCACTCCTGCCGGGCTGAGGGGGGTTAAAAACTCACCTTTCTCCAGCGCCGGGGACTCTCCTACTCCTTTGGCCTTCATCGGCTGAATGCGCATGTGCCATATGCGCAGCCAGAGAATGCTTTTCTATGGACGCTGGCGTCTTCGCACTGTGAAAATCACAGTGAGAAGCGTGGAAGCGTCTCTAGCGGCTGTCAATGAGACAGCCACTAGAGGCTGGATTAACCCATTTGTAAACATAGCAGTTTCTCTGCTATGTTTGATGGACTTTCATTAAGCTGAAGTGGTCTGGGTGCCTATAGTGGTCCTTAAAGTGGCACTGTCACCTCCTGCTCACCCCCCTCCCCCCCAACTGTCTGTGTGTTGGAATTCAACTGAAATTCCAACACAGTCAAAAAAATATACTGAGACAAAGTAGTGATCCTCCATAGACCTCATTGCAGTACTCTAGCACATGCGCGCGAGTGTAGCAGTGACTTCGGATCATGGCAGCCAAAGCACAAAGAGCAGGAGATGACCGCCTGGAAGAAGATGGTAGCATCCGCGAGAGAGATTCTGGCAAGTTAAACAGACCTTTACCTGCCCCCGGCGGTGAGGTCACCATCGAGGGTCTTTGCAAATTATGCAAAGTCACCAGACGTTGGCAGTGCCACTCTAGGCAAAAATCTATACATCTCAACACCTGACAGAATCACACAAGGAACGAAACAAACTACAAAGTGTGTCAATATCAATTGCGATAAAGGAACACAATGGAATGTCACTTACTGACACAGAGGCAATTTATGCAACCAGATAATCATACTAATCAATGTCCTTTTTCTACACCTGTAAATTATTGATTTTGCTTAAGCTAGTCTAATAACCTTAAGAAATAGTATAGTTTGTAGGAAACTAAGCCCTACGTAGCAAGTGCTTTGTAGGCCTAAAATATAGAAAAACTAATTTTACTCACTTTTTGAATATGAAACAGAAAGCAAACAAAACTCAGAAATGTTAACAGTTCAGCAATATCCCAAAGTGAAAGGAAACTATAAAAACAGCAGAGAACTTTTTGCACATTAAAGGGACCCTTCCATACCAACCATGACAGTTTTGTTTTGCCACAGGGTTCCAAATTGATGGCTGTACCGTTTTTGGAACTCAGGTGCCCTGCATTGTATTAACATGAAATTTTCAGTGAATTTTGGTTTGAGGGAAAAAAGTAAAAGCACAAGTGACCTAAAGGTGATGTTTGTTCACATACATGTTCCCCTCCTCCCATTGAAAAGGGTGCTTAGTCCTACTGTACTGCACACACAAGCATCTATTCATTCATTTCTAACAAGAATTACCGAGCTTGTGACATTGAAAGGAAGATCAGGAATTTGCTGAGGGTTTTCATCCAATTGCTGGTCTGAGCAAATGTCACTGGAGGAGGCTCAAAGTCCAGAGAGTGGCTATAAAAAGAGGCATAATGTACACATGTTGCTAAGTATATTTAATGGGTTACTCCAACCACCATGATGACTTCTGTGGTTTGAAGTGGTCATGGTGGTAGGAGTCTGAATATGCAGTGTTTCAGCTTGAAACATTGCACACTCAGAGAGATTTTTAATTGTGTGCGGAGGGAAAGATGCCTTCCTGCGGGCTCACATGCATGCGCTCTGAGCCCTTTTTCAATCAAATGCTGCCTCTATGAGAAAACTTCGGCTGGACATCAGTGCGGCTCCTGTGATATCACACGGATTTTTGACTATCAGCGCAGGGAGGCTTCAACAGGCATTGCATTGAGATAAACAAATCTTAACGCATTTACTTTGAGGAAAACAAAAAAATGCTAAGGCATTATTCTCTATTGTACAAAAAAGGGTCGGAGAAATGCTTTAAGAATATAGGACAGCAAATTACTTTGTAGAGGGACATGAGACTATTCCATTACCAATGGGTTTAAATTCCCAAACTGTTCACTATGACCCTTCTATAACTGGGAAAATAAAGGCCTCATGTATAATGCATTACTAAGCATTCACCACTAAGGGAACATTATTCATTAACCAAGGCAGGTAACCTTACTCCAACTCATCGCCATTTCCGGACTGCAAGGTGCACTGATCAATGCAGATCCTGTCACATTACTTCTTTTCTGTCTAGGTCACTGATAGTCAACCTTTAGCACACAAGCTTTTACTGACAGATAACCATGAACACTCCTCATAGAAATGTACTGTGGAAGAGTTCAAAGGTTATTTCCTTACTACAAGAGTGGTTTTATTTCTTTATAGAATCCACATGTATCAAGCATTCTAAATTCCTAAATCAAACTACACACACAGTATAACACAGCTTGCAAACATAAAATCCAAAATAACCTGTGCATATCATATAAAAAAATATCAATTATCATAGCAGCACATGAGTGGGCAACCTTCAGCTCTTGAGATATTGAGCACTACATCTCCCATAATGCTCTTACAGACATAAATGCTGGCAAAGCTTCCAAGGAAATGTAGTCCAAAATGTCTATCATGCAGAATATTGCCTACCCCTATAAGTAGCCTATAAAGAGCTACATAAACGGAGTTTCATACAGAAAAATGAGGGGGGCAGAGAGAGATACACACACACACACCCCTTTGTATTGGTCTGTTGAAATTGTATGGTCTTTTCACAGAATTGTACAGCACTGCAGAATAAGTCAGCGCTTTATAAATGCTAGCAATAAAAATAACTTTAAATGCGCAGGAACACATTGATTTCTACTAAATATCACTGACACGTGAATATAATTATAAAATGACCATTCTTGACCCAATATAAATATATATAAATGAAACCTACAACCCATATAGGTAGGGTGTTTCATGCTTTACTGCCAGTATTACCAGTTATAGCACAGACTGTATGCCCTGATTAGAGAGCTATAATAAAGCAGTCCCCCGATTAGAGAGCTTTCTATATAAATAATAATAAATACAGATAATATAGGAGGCTGGCTGTTTCATGCTCTATTGCCAGTATTACCAGTTATAGCACAGACTGTATGGCTGAGAGCTGTAAGCCAGGCCCCTGATTAGAGAGCTTTCTATATAAATAATAATAATTATAGATAATATCTGAGGCTGGCTGTGTGTCCCCATACAGATATATCAATATAATCCCTGATAAACCCACAGACTGTATAGCTGAGAGCTCTAATAATCCAGGCTCCTATGGAAAGCTCTCTATATAAATAATAATTATAGATATTATGTGAGGCTGGCTGTGTGTCCCCATACAGATATATCAATATAATCCCTGATAAACCCACACACTGTATGCCCTGATTACAGAGCTGTCTATATAAATAATAATAATAATGATAGATATTATATGAGGCTATATATTGCTATGACCCCACACACTGTATGCCCTGATTACAGAGCTGTCTATATAAATAATAATAATAATAATAATTAATGACAGATATTATATGAGGCTATATTGCTATGATCCCACACACTGTATGCCCTGATTACAGAGCTGTCTATATAAATAATAATAATAATTAATGACAGATATTATATGAGGCTATATTGCTATGACCCCACACACTGTATGTCCTGATCACAGAGCTGTCTATATAAATAATAATAATAATAATAATTAATGACAGATATTATATGAGGCTATATATTGCTATGATCCCACACACTGTCATGGCTGGGCTAGCAGGGGGTATGTGACGCCATTCTCACCCGCTTCTCTCTGTCCCCGGCTGCTGATTCCTCTTCTTCCTCCGCCCGCCGCCTCTTCCTCGCTGCTCGGTCACACGAAATGGCGGCGGTCGCTGTCGTCACCAAAAGTGGGAGGAGACCCAGCGGCTTACCTGCGTGGGCGGGCCCTGGCGCCAGCCAATGGCGACCGCCTGGCCTTCCGGCAGGAAGCGAAGGGCGAGGCGCTCGGCCAATCAGCGCGCGGGACTGGGGAAGGTGCACGCGCTGGGAAGGTGCACCCTGGGAAGAAGCCAGAGCTTTGTCAGCCATGTTGGTACTCATAGTGGGTTATCGGCGCACGTGACAGCCGGCAACCGGCAGCGGAGCGGTTTACCCGCAATAAAGGCCGTGTTACCTCGCCCTGCACAGATCACCCGAGTAAATACGCTGGGGGTGGGGTTAATGACGGTTTGGGGGTAGCAATATGGCCGCCGAGTGACATCACTAGATCGCAGTTAACCGTGCTGGTAGTAGGGTGGGAGGTTATTTGGACCAATAGGATTGAGAAACGTGATTGAATGACGGCGCGCACAGATCGGGATCGACCAATAGCGTAGTGATTCGTCTGACAGAAGTGGGTGGAGCCTTGGGCCTGTTCCTATATAACCCGGTAAACCGCCTGTTGGCTAATTTTAGCCGCTGAGGCGGAAGTGCTGACGGTTTTATTGCGAAACCGGAGTGTCACCTCATGGTGTTCGTCATATCTATCAGGGAGACTCGAGGCTACCGGTGTTGCCTCATATTTCCCTATGTAAATGTAAAAAAAAAAATTGTGCAGTAATAAAATTAAAAATAAATATATATATATTTAAAAAAAAAAAAAAATTCTCTCACTACGTGTTTCAACCTTCATGTAAATAAAAATAATAAAATAAATAGGTTTTCAGCTTCTGCTGGGAGGTCAGTCCAGACCAGGGTTACTGAGTAAATTTCAAATAAAAACCTACATTTTGGGGCAGAGTCACCAAGCTGAAACCACCTGGTTTGGGGCGAAATTACCCCAGTTTGACTATTTTGGTGTAAAATGTGAAATTAACGTTGAATTCCTGCTTACTCGCCATTTTACTGAATAACCTTGTCTGTGATTCACCGTGCCTTTTTGCTTAAAGCGCTATTCCAAGCACCATGACCACTTCAGTCATTTGTGGATCTCGGGAGTTTACGTGCTGCGTTGTCCTGTGAAATGCAGAGTTTAACCCCGTGTTTCCAGCCTAACCAGCCCAGGATTTAGGGACGACCCAGTTGTGTCTAAGAAAATAATAAAAAAACACTTTAGACACAACTGTGTAATCCCTAAATCCTGGACCGGTTTGGGAACCACTGGTTTAGGCCCTTTGCTGCCGGAGGTGTAATTCCACTTCTGCCAGCTTCATTGTGGCTGATCGGATAACAAGTCACCTCGCAACAAGACTTTTTAAAAAAAAATTTAATCAAATTTATGGTTAAAAGACCACTATAGTCACCATGACCACTTCAGCTCAATGAAGTGGTATGGGTGCCAGGTCCCCGAGGTTTTAACCCTGCAGCTGTAAACATAGCAGTTTCAGAGAAGTCTTCCTGACAACCGCTAAAGGTGCTTCCCCGATGCTCAATGTGAAAATTGCATTGAGCCCGCAGAACGTCCATAGGAAAGCACTGAGTAATGCTTTCCTATGGGCGGTTTCAATGCTCACGCGGCTCTGGCCGCAAATGCGCATTCGGCTCCACTCGGGAGCTTGCGTCGAAGGGGGCCCGGTGCTTGATTAAGGTAAGTGGCTGAAGGGGTTTTAACCCCTTCAGCCCAGCCGGAGGAGGGCCCTGAAGGTCGGGGGTAACCTAAGGACTATATAGTGCCAGGAAAATGAGTCTGTGGTCCTTTAATGTACGTCTGCTGAACTCTGTCTCTGGAAGATCCTTAGCACTACAAGTTGTATAGGCTCTCTGCTACATATCTCCCAAGTGTCCCTCTTTCTGCAGGAGCACAATATTATTTGCGTTGTTCCACAGCAATAATACTCCCAGTAATGTGTCTTTAAATTACAATAGTTGTGTTAAGAAATCCATCTGTGTTAATAAGAAATATTGTGCTTGTTATAAATTATATTTTAATTGCATAAATTGTTTTTGTAAGTCTCCTAGACTAGTGTTTTATGAACGTTTACGGAAAAGTACCCCTGCATGTTTTAAAAAAAAAAAAAAGATTCCTAAGTACCCCTGTTTCGAGACAGTAATTTTTTTATTGATTTAAATTCCAACTGAAATGTTTAGACTCTGATATTTTAAATTAAATAGTAAAGAAAATTTTAAAATAAATATGACATATTGCAAGGCTTGACAAATCCTAGGTTGCCATGGTATTTGTCAGCCCGTCGCCTCCAAGTCGGGTGGCCGGCTCTAAGGAATGGAGGCGGTGAGGGAGCTGTAATCTTTTTGCGCTGTTCCCTCACGTGCGCGGCAGTGATACTGGGAGCCTGGGTATATGATGTCACTCTGGCCCCAGCATCACTATATGGCATACACCGCCTCCATTCCTTACAGCCACTTGCCTCCACTCTCCCACAGCCGCCTGGCTCCACTCTCCCTCAGCCAGCCGCCCACTGATCCCCAGGGAAAACCAATACACTTCAGCTCTCCCAAAGGTAGGGAGGCTGGGTGCATTTAAAATTAAGTAGAACATATAATAGTTTGTGTGTGTGTGTGTCTGTCAGTGAGTGAGTGGGTCTGTCAGTGATTGTGTGTGTATTTCTGTGTAGGTGTGTCTGAGTGTGTATGCTTAGGTGACCAGCCCCCCTCCGATTACATGGGAATGGTGTTTTTACTCATTTTTTCCCCACGCCGTGCCGGTCTTGTTGCGGCTGGCCCTGCCTCTGTGACTGAGATAATCAAGCTTGATGATCTCAGCAAATCCAATTCTTTAGAATGTGACGGCAGATAAGAACCATTCTGCCCATCTAGTCTGCCCAATTTTCTAAATACTTTCATTAGTCCCTGGTCTTATCTTATAGTTAGGATAGCCTTATGCCTATCCCATGCATGATTCAACTCCCTCACTGTGAAGGGGGAGGAAGGGGTTAAAATCTTACCTTTCTCCAGCGCAGGGCTCCCTCGGCGCTGGGGACTCTCCTCCACCTTCAGACAACATTGGCTGAATGCGCATGCGCGGCACGAGCCGCGCACGCATTCAGTCAGTCCATAGGAAATCATTCTCAATGCTTTCCTATGGACGCTGGCGTCTTCTCACTGTGAAAATCACAGTGAGAAATGCGGAAGCACCTCTAGCGGCTGTCAATGACAGCCACTAGAGGCTGGATTAACCCATAGGTAAACATAGCAGTTTCTCTGAAACTGCTATGTTTACAGCAGGCAGGGTTAACCCTAGATGGACCTGGCACCTAGACCACTTCATTAAGCTGAAGTGGTCTGGGTGCCTATAGTGGTCCTTTAAGTTTAGTCTAAAAATAGATAAGATATTCCAATGTGACATGACCAAGTTATCTCCTTGTATCTTTTCCAAGTTAAGGTAGGTCCTAATTAAAAATCTACGATATAAATATGTGTACTTGTTAACAGGCCCAGACTGGCCATTGGGCAAACCGGGCAAATGCCAGTGGGCCGCGATGGCCATGGGCTGAGGCCCGCAGGGAAAATCACAGGATCTTCCCTGCCGGCCCATGCAGGGCCCACGCTATTGGAGTGGCGGCCCTGCTGTGTGCCTTCTTGGGTTGGCAGGGAGACCAAAGATCTCCCTCACCGGCCCACAGGCACTGACATGCTGCCGCTGGCTGGGGAGGGAGAGGAGGACCCCAGGAGCTCTAGCTAGCAGCTCCGCCGAGTTCCTCCCTTGAGGTCGGAGCGTTGCTGCGGTTACCATGGCAACGCTCCGATCTCGCAACAGTGAACTTACCACTACAACCACCAGGGATTCAAGGGATTCACCTCTATGTCCCCCTCCCAGGCAAAGGTAAGAAGGGAGGGGGGATATAAAGTATAGCTGTTTTTAATTTTTTTTTAAAAACAAACATATTTATGTATTACTTTCATTTTCCCCCCACTGCACACCAAACACACACACACACTAACTACACCCTTCACACACTTCACTTCTGACACACTGCACCCTTTACAGACACACACATACACACAGCACCTTTCACACAGACAGTGCATCCCTCACACGCACACACTGCATTCCTCCCCCCACTGCACACCAAATACACACACTGCACTCCTCACACACTGCAGCCTTCACACACACACAAAAACTGCACTCATACACACACACTGCAGCCTTCACACACACTGCACTCCTTTTTCCCCCACTGCACATCAAACACACACACACACAGTAACTACACCTTTCACACATTGCAGCCTTCACACATACACACAGCACCTTTCATACACACTGCACCCTTCATACATCCTGCACCTTTCACACACACACACACACTGCACCCCTCACACACACACATGCACCTCTCACACACAGCCTCACAATGCACCCCTCACACACATACACAAACTGCACTCCTCCCCCCCACTACACACCAAACACACACACTAACTACACCCTTCACACATTGCACTCCTCATACACTGCACCCTTCACACACACACACACACACACACAAACTGCACTTACACAATGCACTCTTCACATGGACACATACACACTGCACCACTCACACAAACATACTGCAGCCTTCACACACACTGCACCCCTCACACACACACACACACTGAACTCCTCCTACCCCCACGGCACACCAAACACACACATACACACACACACTAACTACTCCTTTCACACATTGAACTCCTCACACACTGCATCTTTCATCCACACACACACACTGCACCCTTCACACAGACACACACATGTACACAGCACCTTTCATACACACACTGTGCCTTTCATACACACTGCACACCTCACACACACACTGCAGCCTTTACACACACTGCACCTCTCACACACACACACACACTGCAACCCTCACACACATTGCACCCTTCAAGAGCATTGAACCAACATGCTCACTTTGAGAGGGGGCGTACTTGTCATTGGTGATGACAAATCAACCCCTTTCTTGCCCGCCCCCTTCTCAGTGGGCCGCTGTGACTCAAAAATGCCCGGGCCAAATTTCTT